CACAATCCCGAGTGAAGAAATAGCTTCTGACCTCACTTCTGATCGTCTTAGCTCTAATATTAAGATACATTGTTTCTCGTCCAATGTTTTAGATCCCTCTACCAGAGATTCACTTCACAGTATATTCTGTGAAGCTCTTTGAGACGTCTCGAAGACGTGATAAAGCGCTGTATCAAAAGCAAGAAATATTATTATTTTCCCTTCTTTCAATCAGATCAGCTCCTGTCACCATTCTGATTGTTAGGGAAGTTAACTCACAGTTACTCCATCTCTGAAATGGATATCGAATGTCAAAACAGTCTGTCAAAACAGTCAGCACCAACTTGCTCACCATTTCCTCTAACCCTGGCAGACCTGGAGATAGGCGGGGGCCAAAACAAAGTAAACTCAATGAACCTAAAATTCTTTCCAAATCCCTTAATCTACTAAAACAGTAGCCTCAGGAGGAAATGTTTTGATAGATTTAATTTCAATGAAAGACAACTGCTCCATTGAAATCCACAGAACCTAACCTTTAGTAACCCTGAGACCCTGACTGGGCGCTTTAACTGATATGGATGTGCATAAGCATGCTGGACAGCTTAGAATGAGGAAGTGAATCAGTTAAAATATTTGCTTCGTGGCTGCTTGTGTGCAAATTGATTGTAAAGTCACTGCATTTTACACTAAATCCCGTCAAGTGCACTTAAATATTTCAACATGAAAAGCGTTATAATCAAATGCAGGGATTATTATTGTCAATTGAAATGTGGAGTCCTGTAACATATTGGTTAGAGCACTGGCCTCACAAACGAGAGGACCCGAGTTTGACTCCCGGCAGGACGAAACCTTAGGCAAGTTTCCTTACTCCACACGCCTCTGTTCACCCAGCATTAAGTAGCTCCAAAAGTAGCTCTTGGAGTCCTGCAGCTCAATGGTAAGAGCACTCGCTTTGCAAGCGAGAGACCTGAGTTCAATTCCAGGCAGGGCGAAACCTTGGGCAATAATAATAATCCCTCCAAAATAACAAAACAGTAATAAATTGGTCATTTTCAATCTACAACTGTTTGTGGGACATTGCTGTGCGCAATTGGCTCCCGCCTTCGCCCACAAATATAGTCAATTCACTTTACAGTGTGTTCTGTGAAGCGCTTTGGGACGTCCTCCCGACGTGAAAAGCGCTATATCAAATGCAAGGATGATTATTATTATTATTAAGTAGGAACCTGGTTATCAGTCAATTGGTGGATCTTTTTCTGGGGGTAAAAATCCCTTCCGAAGAAAAAAATACATATAATAATTTGGTCACTCAATCCACAATTGTTTGAGGGACACTGCTATGCGAAATTGGCTGAAGCGCTTTGCCCACAAAATTTATTGTCAATTCACTTTACAGTATATTTTGTGAAGCGCTTTGAGACGTGTCGATGATGTGATAAGGTGCTACATCTAATGCAGGGATTATTATTATTATGATATCTCCATGGGATTTTGTAGCCTGCAGACATTATTGTTTTGAGTGGGCACTGTTCCTTTTACAGTGAGAAAATATTTCCAGCATCTATTTGAATTGGTATGGAGCTAACAACAGGACCCATTGAACTTTGATGGCATCTCTGTTTCCTGTTACTGGAACTCATGTGGGACAGCCTTCTTATGCAAAAGAGCTTCCTCTTGCAAGCGTATTCTTGTTTGTGGGAATGTTCCTAGATTCGATCACAACTTTACATGTAGGGACATTTCATTGTTTGAAAAGCATCTTCCGTTTGCACAGTTTGATGCCCCAAATTCAACCCAGCCTTAGCTGTTTTACCTTAAAATTTTAGTCCAGACAGAACTGTGGAGGATTATTCAGTTCAGTGTTTATTCAGAAGCCGCCTGTGTCTAAGAACTGCACAAAACAAGCTTTCAATCCAATCACTGAGGCAGGGAATCATCCCATTCAGCTCCTGTTAACCCTGCAAGCCAAAGCCCTAACCGGTAGGGTGGTTCTAGCAGGAAAGCTTGCCAGACAGCGATATCAATGGCAAGCTATGTGCTTTTAGTTAGTTAGATTCCAGCAGTACCCCAAATCACACTCTGGGGTCCCCAAGCCTTGGCTCTTGCTAGCCTGCGCCTAATAATTTCTGGAATAAGGTAAGCAGGATGCGTTCCCCCAGGGAGAGAGTGTGTATTCCATTCCAACAATCTATCTCTGGAATTTCCATGTGTAGGTGGGGTGCATGGAATTCTCTGTTTGGTTTGGAGACTCTTAAGGATGGTGATGGGTTTCCACATTTCGTCCACAAAATATACAGTCAATTCACTTTACAGTATATTCTGTGAAGCGCTTGTGATCAGAGAACACGTGATATATCTCTTGTGTTTTTTCCCCCTTCCCACCATCACACAACCAACCCCAATAGGGCAACACTTCTGGAACTGGATAACAAGACAGTGACTGTAAACCACTTACATCTAATTCCCAAGACTGACTGGCTGTGTGGGGCGCTCTGTTTCACTCAGAGCAGCTCCTGGTCCAAGCTGCCTTTGAGCAGATCACCATAGGTCTTGGCAGGCTACTGTTACCACCCTGTACACCATCACCAACCCATTCAGAAAGTGTAGCGCCCCTCCTCCTCCACCAAACAAGAGCCGTTCAAAAAAACACTGGCACGCAGCACTGCTCAAAACGCATGATCAATCTTTTGGCAAGAAAAAAACCTCTTCAATCTGCATGCAGAGGTTGTGTCCTCATGAGTTATTCGACGTCTGAATGTAAGGGAGTGATGCGTTTGCTGTTGCTTTACAGTAAATTAACGCATCACTTGAAAGGCAGGAAGATGTTAACCTCAATGTTAACGTGCACAGAAACACGCTGCTCAACACACATGTTTGCCATTACACATCCCTGCGGGATTTTCAGATAACTTCTGACTGAGCTGCGAGTGGCTACTCAACTTTCAGTCGACCAGGGTTTCATGACTACCAGAGCGCCAGGATTGAGGGAATGACTCACGGGGAGAGAGTGACGCTCATCCCGGTCCATTTCACAAGTGCTTTAATGATGTCAGGGGCTGCAAGTAGAATCTCCCAGTTCACTCAGTAAATGTTGAAATGGAATCGGGATGTTGTGGAGTCCTTTAGCATATTGTAGCACTCGCCTCGCAAACGAGAGGACCTTGGTCCTTACTCCACATGCCTGTTTACCTAGCGGGAAGTAAGAGCCCGGTTGTTAGTTGATTGGCAGATCGCTTTTACTTGGGTAATAATCTCAAAAAAATGTTGTCACCCGATCCACGACTCTTTGTGGGACACTGCTGTGTGCAATTGGCTGCTGCGTTTCGCCCACAAAATATACAGTCAATTCACTTGAAAGGATATTCTGTGATGCACTTTGTGACATCTCGAAGATGTGATAAGGCACAATATCTATTGCGAGGATTATTATTGTTAATATTATTAAGCAAATTTAGATAATCCTCTCAATTAAAGTGCATGCTTAAAAGCTCCACTGATTGCCCAGTAGGTGGAGACATCACTCTGTGTTGTACAGGAGGTTGGGGATGAGAGGGAGAAATGAACAGAAATTTGGCCATTGTTCAGTGTCCCACAAACAGTTCCTTTTTACTCCTTTTTTTTTAATATCTTTATAGTTCCCTTTAGAAAGCTAATATGGATTCTGCCTCAACAACTCTGTGGTTATGATGTGTTTTCTGCAAGAATGAGATCAACTTGAAACACTGGGGTTGGCTGTTTTTGAAGGAAGTGCCATTTGCAGCGCTTAGGTAACTTATTAAGGAATCTGTGAGAAAACAGTACAATTCAACCTGTCAGTTATCATGTGAAGCCAAGTGTGGGGTTATAAGAAGTTCCAAGAAACAGTTACGTTCCATTGATATCCACTGGCTGACTGGTACAACTTAACCATGCAAGAAATACATTAAAAGAAATAGAAAAATTCCCCCAAATAATTCATGCAAGATCAAACACGTACATTGAAATTACCGGGTAAAGGAGCGCTTTATGTTCCTTTAATAAAGAATTCTCGTAGCTGCAGCCAGTGACTCAATGGAATAAAAATTCAATGCAAGCCCCGCAGTGATTTCATTCAAAATGCAGGACTTGGCGTTTGCAATTTCCAAGGGTCACGCAGGATCGTATTCAGGATCTTATTCAGGATTTTATTCTTTGAAAAGGAGCAATTATCCGGCTGTATATTGGGGATTTGCAAGTCTGTGAATGCAGGGATCTGTCTTTGCTGACTAGGTTTAGAAATAGGTCTCATTTTCTGCGCTCTGAAGTTTGGGAGAAAGTTCTCGAATGGTGAAATTGCATAGTGAACACACGTGCAGAGTGCCTTGGACATCCGTTTTCTCACATGGACTTCCAACAACACAGTATCACACCTCAGATCACGCTGAGTCAAGTTCTTCTACACCAAGAGAGATCCGCTTGAAGAATGACCCATTTGATCTCATACTTGCAGAAAACACATCATACCACAGAGTTGTTGAGGCAGAATCCATGTTATCTAAAGGGAACTAAAAAGATATTAAGAAAGAAGGAGTAAACTACAAGTGTATGGGGAAAGGGTAGGTAAATGGGACTGAAAGAATTGCTGTTTAAAAGAGCCAGCAATGGACCAAATGTCTTTTCGCACTCCACTCTACTGTTTACTCTCTAGGTAAAGAAATACTTGCCGGTTTGTGTGCTGAAAATACCCATTTGCAACCATGAACCTGTGCCTCCTTTCCCTCAGTCCCTTGGGATGTCCTCTCGACATACATTGCGATATAATATCTAAATGCAATTTGTTGTTTTTGTTAAGCTCCTTTGGCTATACTTGAGACTTCCTGGAGGAAATCACTTTGAGGTGATGTCTACACTGCGGTTTTACCACTCTTTGAATCCCATTGTCTTGCACACAGTGTGAATCTCCAGCTAAACAAAATATTGGCCTATTTTTCCTCGCTTCATCAATGTAGGGTAATGGATCCCATTTGACTTCCAGCCATAATTCAAATAAGACAAACATTCAATTGAAGCACAAAAAATTATTAATATTCGCCATTTTCTGTGATACAAAACAATATTCTACAGTTACTTTACCTCATATTTCTGATAAAGACAAATGTAGGTGTTACAAATATTATACTCCAGTTCTATGGAGCAAAGGTTAACAATTTATCCACTGGAGAAAATGTGTCAGTCATTTACAAGAACAGATTGGCACTTTCCCTTCCTCCAACAAACCAAGTAGCCTGATGCTCCCCCCATCACAAACACACACACATAACTGGCCCTGCATTAATCCCAATTCTCAACACACAGCTCAGTTTAATCAGCTATCATTTATCTCTTAATAAATAAAGCATGAATAGGAAATCCTGTTCAGAAAGTTGTACTTTAAATTCAATCACTGGTTTGCTCAGTGGTGCTGGGATAGGTCCTCACTGGGATAGGTCCTCACACTCACCATTCCCCATAACGCTGAGCTCCTAAGAATGGAGGATGGGCACTTCCCCACTATGACGTCAGGATTGTCCAACAATAGTTTGGTAGACTTTCAACAGCATTGAAACCATCTCAGAATACTTCACGGGGAATTGCTATCATTTCCGTGTATTTATAGGCAAACTCAGCAGCCACTTTGCAAATAAGAAGGTAAATATTTGCAAATATTAAGCAAATAATTGATCTGATGTGTTGTTAGCCCAGACACTAGAGGAAAGTCCCTTCTATTTTCAAATTGGCCCTTCACATCTGCTGATGGTTTCAATGTCTCAGCGGCAACTCAAATTGCAGTGCTCCATCATTAGACTATGCATTGGATTAGATTATGATCTCAAGCCCTGATTGGGGGGGTGGGGGTGGATGAATCTTCTGATCGAGAGCTGAGAGAGCGGTAGTAACTGAGCCACGCTGACACACTGAGGAAGGGGTGAAAAGGTTTGGAAGCAAATCAATGTGGCAGATATCACTGGGCCTTTGTTATCCATCACTGACTGACTGGTGGGGTTCAGAGCAGAATTGGTGAGCAAATGGCTAGAAAGAATGGAGAATGGGAAAGAGACCATTAAAAGAGCATCTTCAGCTGTTATTCTTCTCCTCAGTTATTACGGGGCCTGTACTGGTGTGACTGAAGGGGGAAAAAGGATAGAGAGGAAGAGTCTATATACGACCAGGGTTGGTTAGTGCAGGATGTGGGGAAAGATAAATGACTGTGACATAAGCATCCCTATCTTTCTCTCTCTGTCTTTGTGCTGGGGGCTTCGGGAGAAGGGAGTTGCCTTTAACTTAGGGCACAATCTACGCTTGGCAGCCAAACGCAGCCTTTCGTTTAAGGTGCTATCCTACTCTACCCTACACACACCCTAACCTACCCAATAGTACAACCTACGTCTCCTAAAGGGAGCTGCTTCTGTCTAGAGTTTGGAAATGTCCATCTCTTCTCGAGGCCGCCACTCCCGTCTACAACTGTTTCTGCCGGTCCTCTCCAGCATGTCGTTTCCTCCTGGACTGAAGTCCATCAAAGCTCAGTGATTTCTTCAATCGCCTGTACTCCACATCACTGAGCGATACTGAGCAGCGAGATGGATTCAGCTTTCTGTACTTGATACTGTCGATGATAGCCTGTTTGATCAGCTGTTGAAGTTGGGAACAAAAAAAGGAAAGCTGTTTAAGGCAAACAGGTACACGGTCATTTTACTCTACAGTATATGCCGTGTAGTGCTTTGAGATGTCTTCCTGACTTGAAAGGTGCTATATCACATGTCAGCTTTATTGCTAAGGCAGCAAGGGCAAATGGCCAAGGGAATGGGTTTGAAGTAAGATCAGAAGACATGGAGTCCTGTAGCTCAGTGGTTAGAACACTCGCTTTGCAAGTGAGAGACCTGAGTTCAATTCCAGGCAGGGCGAAACCTTGGGCAAGTTTCCTTACTCCACACGCCTAATAACAATCCCTCCAAAACAAAAAACAATAATACATTGGTCATTTTCAATCTACGACTGTTTGTGGGACATTGCTGTGCGCAATTGGCTGCCGCGTTCGCCCACAAATATACAGTCAATTCACCTTACAGTCTATTCTGTGAAGCGCTTTGGGACGTCCTCCCGACGTGAAAAGCGCTATATCAAATGCAAGGATTATTATTATTATTATTATTTTCACAGAATTGTGAAATTGGCAGTGAACCATTTCTGCACGGTTATCAAGCCCAGAGGGGCAAGCATCAGTTGCTAGAATTTTTTCCTTTGATTAGCCGGGTGTCTGATATATACGGAAGTCCATCACCATGCTTATGTGTACCTAAACCAGACTTAGAATTCCACATATGTATGCCACCAACACATAGAAATTTCCCTACGACTAGAATGTGAGATAGATAGGTACTTGCAATGTAAAGGTGGGGAAATGGATTAAAAGATCCGTCGTGATCTGATAAACTGACAGAACAGCCAAGATGGCTGAATGGCCTCCTTTTCTAATGTTCCTAGGTGCAGGCTCCGTACAACACAATATGTTGATGTGACCCAAGGGCTTGTGGAGGTTAGGGATCGGACAGTGCAGATTCACTCTCTGGAGCCAGGCAGCTCAGTGTATGAATTCAACACGCCGTGAAGACCTCAGTGAGCGGTACTCTGACTTACCTCAATATTGTTAAGTGTGTTGAATTCCATTAGGTCGTGAAGCTGCAAAAACGCCTTGTTGGAATATTTGAAGTTGAAAGTGGAATATGGGGATTCAGGGTCATCAAAGATGTCAAAGTCATCGCTCTCCTTTTCTTCCTCAGTCTCTCGCTTCACACCTACAAGAACAAAGAAAGGGTTTATCTCAGTGGTAATAGCAGAACGAAAGAATTGGAGAAAGAGCACTCCAGGAGTCAGTGATCAGTGAAGGGATTGTAAATAAAGCAGAAGTATGTTTAACTATAGTCCACAAGATGCATAAACAAATGATACCAATAGAAGAGAGCCAGTAGGAGATCTAAAAGGGAGTTTCGTAGGAATTTCTTTATACAGAGAGTGAAGTATTGAAGTAAAGTGAAACTTACTACCTGAAGCTGTGGTTGAAGCAGAAAGCACCAACTTAGTTAGGATGTATGCACTGAAGTTAAGCGAATAGGGCCTTAGGGAAGTTGGTGGTTTGTGTGGAGTATAAATACTAGTACAGATTAGTTGTACTGAAAGGCCTGTTTCTATGCAATATGTATCTGATGTAGATAATAATAATAATAATAATAATCCTTGCATTTGATATAGCGCTTTTCACGTCGGGAGGACGTCCCAAAGCGCTTCACAGAACACACTGTAAAGTGAATTGACTGTATATTTGTGGGCGAACGCGGCAGCCAATTGCGCACAGCAATGTCCCACAAACAGTAATGGATTGAAAATGACCAATTTATTATTGTTTTTGGTTTTGGAGGGATTATTATTAGGCGTGTGGAGTAAGGAAACTTGCCCAAGGTTTCGCCCTAGATGCAGTAGTCAGTGATTTCGCATTGAAACTTCCTTACCTGGAGCCTTGTAGTGCCTGAAATCGATGTTTGCCAGTACAAAGTGGATGATAGTTGGGCAGTCCTTCTCGGTAAATGGGTTTTTGGGCTTGAAGATGTAGCACTCTTTCAGCCCCTCTCGGTCGAACACATTGGCATCAATCTTGGGAAATGGCAGCTTGTTCATTTTTGCCCATTTCTCAGCAAGCAAGAGCTCCTATCAAATCAAACCGAGGTTTCACATCAGCCAAGTTGCAGAGTGGATCCTAGAGGGCCTAGAGTGCTGTGCCCAGTGCTGTTCTCTATATTCCAGTATCTTTGCAATGGAGAGGGTACAAAGGGCAAGTATGTAGTGAACAGGAATTGGGCAGTTGAGGTACAAGGAGAAGAAATAGAAGCTGGGAATATTCACACTGGTCCAAAAGGTTAACACAACCCTAATGTCTTGCATTTAGTATAGCCACAAACAAGTGGTACGGACTGAAGCTTGAGAAGAGCAAAGATGAACAATTAGTTTAAAATGTATTACATTGAAATGAGTCCAATTGCAGATAAAGTATATATGACATGAAAATACTTTGGGGTCAGTCATATGGATTGCAGTTCTATACATTTCAACGTTCCTATTAATGGAGTCTCCCACTGGGAATCATCTGTGACCATTCTCCGGGGGGGTGAGGAAGGGAGGTGAGCGGGGTCTCCTTGGAACTGAAGTGGCTTAAGGTGGCAATAGAATGTGTTGGAAGTTGCCGTTAACTGTAGGATAATATGCGTTACGTTCCTTTCCTCTCCATCAGCTGCTGTATGAAAGGACCCGCAAGCCCCATTCCATCGTAAGACACCTGCCCTGTTACTGTTTTGACAAATTGAGCACGCGACTTCCTGAACATGGGTAGGACCTGGAGGGGGAGGGGGGGAAAAGAGGGTAAAACAAGCCAAACAGCCTGCTGTCTGCAGAAGATATCTGAATGGGGAAAGCACAGGGCCCAAGAGGCCAGTGCTCCTGGCTATATACTGCTACCAAAGTGCATGGGGAAACTATTGAGAATATACTGAGCTCAGAGAGCAACAACAATAACTTGCATTTACACAGTACACTTCACACAGGGTAGCAACTTGGGGCGCTTAACAATGGCCTAGTTTGACTCTTGAGCTTGGGAGAAAATGGAGGTGACTGTAGCCTCGAAGAGGAAAGTCTTCAGGTGCGATTGGAAGATGGGCAAAGAGAGGGAGGGATTGAAACAGGGAGTTCCAGAGGTTTGGGGCATAAATGGCTGAAAGTACAGCTGCCGATGGAGGAGGGGTCGAGGGATGCACATAAGGTCCGAGCCAGGAAAATGAAATAATGATAACAGTCCTTGCATTTGATATAGCGTCTTATCGCGTCTTTGAGATGTCGCAAAGCGCTTTGCTGAATATACTGCAAAGTGAATTGGCTGTGTATTTGCGGAGGAGTGCAGAGCTGGGAAAGCACGTGAGTGTTTGATATTGACCTCAAACCATCATGGAACAATATGACGTTGCATTGGGAAGAGAGCTTTGTAATCCAGGTTGTTGCTGGGTCGCAACAGGAAACCTAGTGGAGGAGAAAGCACATGGATTTGACTTAATTCTACCTTAAAAGGTGGGCTGGAGTCGCTTGGCCTGGCAGAGAAATCGAAGGAGATGATAAGGTCGATGGCCCTCTGGGGTCTCAGGATCAGAGGGTAGGGCAGGTTAAAGGTCAGCCCACTGTCAACCACGTGGATCTTCTTGCTTTTCACATCCAGCGGTTCGTAAATCCTGTCAAACTCATCTGGATCTGGTGGAATAACGGAAAGGACAGTCACTACAATTCCTTACAAAGAGATTAAAATCCTTCCATTTACTGCTGTGTCCGCTTACAAATACACAGTCGCTACACTTTTCAGCAATGCCTCGGGGAGCACTTTAGAGAGACATTTAAAATTTTATTTGAGACAAATCCATGAAACTTACTCCATGGCTGTGGGACACTGCTGTGTGCAACTGGCTGCTGCGTTTTGTCCACAAAATACACACTATACAATATATCCTGTGAAGCGCTATTGAGACATCTCGACCATGTTATAAATTGCTATATCAAATGCAAGGATTATTATATTATTATTTCAACATTAATTATAATAATAATCCTTGCATTTGATACAGCGCCTTCCTAACCCACGTCGGGAGGATGTCTCGAACTGCTTCATAGGATTTTGACTATAAAGTGAAGAAACTGCTTTAAATTTGCACGATAAACAAATATAAAGTTCATTATTATTATTGTTTGATATACTTGGTGCCTCTACGGTGTTCTAAGAAATATAGAAAACTAGGCTGCAAATTTAAGACTGAATTCAACAACATGCTAAATTCTGGATGCTCTGAAAATGTGAAAAGTCTTGTAAATTGAGAGGCAGGTAGAATTGTTTCATTTATATTGCAATCAGCTCTGATTTCAGACAGCAACTCCCAACCTTAATCCTCCAGGTGCCAACTGGCCTCCTGTGAAATTCCATGGTTTCTGTTGGTGTTTCTTACAAATCAAGACCCGACTAAATTCCAATCCCCAATCACACTACTGATCTTTCCATTCTGCCCTATAATGTTCTTCACAAACAGTAACACTAAGTTTAAAACAGTAAACTGTAAAACAGTAAACGTCTCAAAGAGTAAGATGCTAAGAATGCAGCACAAAGTGGAAAGGAATGTGAAATGTGTGAGGGGTGCTATATAAAGGCAAGTTCTTGTGGTTGTTGTAGGATGTGGAAGATTCTTAAATTCAGTTGATATTATGAAGCCAGTTCTTTATACGAACTGCAGAGCAACGGTTATCACACTAACGTTTGAATTTTAAGAGTTCATCATAATTATTCGCGATTTAAAATTTTGAGTCTAACTCCAGGTGAACTTTTGTGCCTCTGATCATGAATATATCAAATGCAAGGATAATTATTATTATAATATTATAACACTGGGGATCTCCCGCACTCTCCACTGCAGTAAGCAACAAAAATCCACCACCTCTGCACCGGCAGAATCACCACTCACCCGTGACTGCGGCATCAACCTCATCGTCCTCCTGCATCTCTTGGTACATGAGGCTGCAGAGAGGGGAGAGCGGGTAGGAGGTGTTCAGGTTGAGCCCCAGCATGAAGTTGTGCACCTTGCCAGCCCGGCCTTCCCGCGTGTTGAAAAGAGTGCTGTCGCCAAGCATGGCCATGAGCATGCGCTGCACCCAGCTGTTCAGGCTGTTCTCCTGAGGCTGATCTTCCACGTCACACGCCTCACTGCCCAGTCGCTCTCCTGTATTGCAAGAGATAGAGATAGAGACCAGTTTGAGCTTGTACCCTCACCGGAGATATGCACTCCCATATTCCCCACAGACATCAAGCCTCCAGGCCATTATGCCCTTTTCCTTGGAACTACAGCCTGGAGTGCCTCCACTTCACCTCCCTCCCTCCCTCCCTCCCTCCCAAATGTTTTCAACTGTGCTTTTGGCGTCTCCCCAACTCCCCCATCCTCCTAACACACACACGCAAGCACGGGTTCCCAATCAGCCTTACAAAACCCTTTGAGATGTCCTCCCGACATACAAGGCGCTGTATAAATGTAAACTGTCACTGAAAAAGGACGGTCAATCAGCATGAACACTGAACCACAGGAGAGAAACAAAACATTTTCTCCAGTTCACCAAGTTTGGCCAAATGATGTTGGGTTGTGCCTTTCCTTTTAAGAAACAAAGCACCCGCAGACAGGAGGTGTTCCCGGGTCTCTCGTTCTTACCTTTGGGATGTGATTCGTCGTCGCTGTCTGAGCTGTCGTTCCCAATTAAGTGCTTGGGCTGAATTTGTGCTGAAAGGTAAAATTGGCCAAAGATCAGACTGACCGGCTAACGCTGGGATAAAACAGGCCTAATCCGTAAAATTCTCAAAAGGATTCGTAAATCGTAGATCCTGCAGGAACCTGGGATACCTGAACCTGAAGTGGGATTTGACGGTAGTGTCTCAAGCTAGTGTCTCATCCAAAGGGTGAGATGATGTATAGGAATGCAGAACTGTTGATGACTTTCCAACTCAGATTAATGGGTTGATGCTGGGACACAGATAATTCAGCGCTATACCAAATGTAAGGTTTATTATTATTATTGTTAGAAGTATAGCAAAAATAACATGGTTGTGTGAATCAGGCTCGTCACATAAGCAGATATTTGGAGTGACATTAAGATTGCATTGAACAAACTTCCTGTATTCAAATTGACTTTCAACGATCACATCTCCTGATCAAATGAGATTTCCACATTTTCTTTTGAGTTTGCTATAGTAAGCGACAGACAATGTCTGGGTGAAACTGAGCCCATACCGTCGACTCTCCATCCATGTCCTCAATGTGTGCCCTCCCCCAGCCAAACCCTTGCCCTCATACCCTCCCAACCCCTACCTTCACCCACTTATGCAATTGCCCTACCTCCCCTCCAAATGAGAGTTGAAATTGCTTTTTGTTCTAAGTAAGTGAGAGTGATTGGAGTCCTGTAGAGTAGTGGATGGCTCGCTTGCCTCGCAAACGAGAGGACCCGGGTTTGCTTCCCAGGTAGGGCAAAACCTTAGGCAAGTTTCCATACTCCACACGTCTCTGGTTGTTAATCGATTGGCAGATTGCTTTTCTGAGGGTACTAATCCCTTAAAAAAAATCCCTTTTTTAAAAAATTGGGTCAGTCAATCCACGACTGTCTGTGGGACACTGTTGCGTGCAATTGGCCGCTGTGTTTTATTTTACAATATATTCTGTGAAGCGCTTTGAGTCATGTCAATGATGTCATAAGGCGCTATATCAAATGCAAGGATTATTATCATTGTATGTTTGTGATAAGGACGACAGACCATCCCTGATCCTATCCAGGAACCCAAATCACTCTGCACAACACTGCCAGATGCACGCCTTCTCCCGGGACCGTAGTTGGTCTCCATGGAGCCGGATAACTGAAATATCTGCAGCTTCATGATGCGGAGGCATTGGAAGATAACGTAAACAGTTAACCGCTGATCTTGGGAGCGATGCCCATTTGGACGCCAAAACTTCAAGAAATAATCCAAAGAATTATACGATCGTAAATCTGCCAGAAGCCCCATTGAAATGTTTTATGAGTTTTTTTAAAATCTAAAAGTGTTGATTGTAAAGTCTGATGCACTGCATTGCAGTTGGAGTTTACTTTTGCAACAATCGCTAATTGATAGACGAGAAATGCCTTAACCAGGAAATCGTTGCAAACCAGGGGGTTGGTCCCATGCTGATGGTTAAATGTCTGCAGTCATCTTGATCTTTCCAATGCGCAAACTGGAAGTGGTTTAGATAAGTACAGCTGTGAATGGATACTCCAATGAGCACAGTTTAGGTCCTGTGATTTCATAGTTTGCTTCTGCCTGGTTGAATTTGCATTGCATTGCTGTTAATGGCAAGTTATGCCGTTTTAGCTGGTTAAACTCCAGCAGTTATCCCATCGCACACGCTGAGGTCCTTCAGATTACTCATGTAATCTGTTCAGGTGGAGTTAAAAGATCACATGGCACCCATCTTCTAATATATTCCTTTGGATTTTCCTTGTCCCGACGGTATTTCCCATCAAGATTTGTGCCTACATACCTAGCTCTTCTTCCATGGTGGATGCCTGGTTGTTGGTCAATGATGAAACTCCGAGCACTCGGTTGAATAAAATGGAAAAGGCGCTACCCCAGACTCCTAGTGAACAAAGGGACAAACACAAACAGTGAAACTTTCCACCAGCAACAGAATAAATGCTTGAAATGTTATGCAATTGAAATTAACCATCCTGGCTTGTTAACAGGACTTGGAGGGGCAGACTAGTAACTGGAGACTGGGTTTCTTCCTACACAGCTCCCAACAACCCAAAGATCTCACGATAGGGCTGGTGTTAGCTGTACAAGGAGCGGGAAGATTGCTAGTGTTGGCTCTTGTTGCATATTGCTTTAAGGCTAAATTGGCAATTGGACATTGACAGTAAGAAGCAAGCAAGAAGTATAAATGGATTCTGGGACAGTGACTGGGCAGAGCGTTGAAGAGAGTGAAAGTAAGGTTGAAATAAAGGAACCATTGAATCTAATCTGTGTTGTGGATTGACAAATGATATAGCTCTGACCATCTGTGTAGTTTTGAGCTGATTAAATTCCAGCAGTGACCCCAGCGTACAGCGTGGGGTTCCCAAATCTTGGCTCTTGCCAACATACACTTAAACTCCCCAGGATTGGGTAAATGGAGTTTCAGGAGAGATTTGTGTACTGCACCCTATGTGCAAAAACATACATATTGGACAACCCCACAATAACAGTTGTTTGGTTCAATATCTGAGGTTGTGTTAAAACAAAGCACAAAACAAAATCAACCTCCTTGTCCTTTCTGTGCTGCACATTTTAAGCAACAACAACCTGAACTTATTATAACACCCTTCAGGCAGGATAGCATCTTGGATATCTCCAAGGAAGCTCGGATTAGTGAAGTTAATTAACTGATCCATCATTGTTGTGGTTGCAATTCCGATGGTCCAAACAATAGAGAGAAAGCATTTTAAGTTGTGTTTTTTTCCTTCATTTTTCTGACCAAAGGGTACATAAGCAGGCGACGCTGAAAAGGCTTTAAGAGTTACTAGGTCTTGAATGACAAATACCCATTAAGAAGTGGAGAGGATTCTCTTCATATTTCTTCACCACTGAGCCCATGAAGAACTTGCTGCCGAAGAGTCCTGGGTGCATGAAGGTTCCATACTTTGCCATTCCAATCTCGTACGGGCTGAACTCCACCCAGTCTGTGAATTAGAGAGAGCAAAGGCAAGTAAGAGAATGGAAGATTGCAAGTATCCAATGTATATAATAATTATTATCCTTGGATTTGGTACAGGGCCTTGCACATCAAAAGGACTTCACTGGACAAAATGCTTCACAGGACCTACTGTAAAGTGGAGTGACCGTGTTTTTGTAGGCGAATGGGAGAGTGTTCCAAAACTCCGGGGCGTAGTGGCTGAAAATGCGGATACCAATGGTGGAGAGGAGGGGACGAGCGACAAGCAGAAGGCCAGAGCCAACTGAGCGGAGGCAGCGTGTAATGGAGTGCGGAGACATTCTGTGCATTTGAGACTCCTGATGATTTTTGCTACCTATTGTGACCTTGTCAAATCAGAGATGTGACCTTCTTGACCGTGCTGATCAGAAGGAACCAGATAGGAATCTGGGGGCCAATCAGACCTTACCTGCAAACATGAGCTCCGAGACATCTGGCTTGACATGTAGACAGGTGAACAACGGCAATGGGCACTGACCATCACTGATTTTTTCCTTCATCTCACTCAGCTTGAAATTCATTCTCTGCAATAAAATAGGGAGAGCCTTTTAGACAGCAGAGGGCATCTTTCATACACGCTTGCAACAAGCCAAAGTAAAACCATCATAGCCATGCAATGGCTTCAGTTTGGATATTGGATTTAAGTCCCAATAACAACAACAACAAATTACATTTGTATAGCGCCTTTCAAGTCGGGAGGATGTCCCAAGGCAATATACTTAACAGTCCCAACAATATATGGGGAGCGTTTCCATCTGGGTCCACGTTTATTCTATTTACATAGCACTTGAGAGTGTCCAGAATTATCAAGTTTTTCAATTCAGGCTTAACTTTAAAGTGGGTTTTGTTTAGTCATTGAAAGAAACTTACAGAATCCCAGCTTTGAAATTAAGGCTGTATTACGAAAATTTCCCCCAGGTCATATCCTGGTCGCTAAGAAAATAGAATAAATCTAGACCTGGGTGGAATTCCTCCTCAATAATAGCTTAAATGCAATCTTAAAGTGTAAGAGGCCATTTGACCCATCAAACCTCAGCTGGTGCTAACACACTGAAGCTCACTACTCAGTTTCACCCACAAAATACACAGTCACACTTTACAATGTATATCATGTGAAGTGCTTTGAGATGTCTCAGCGACATGATAAAGCACTATATCAAATGCAAGGATTATTATTATTATTTCAATCACAATTCCTGCTTTCCTCCCCACACTGTATCCTTTTATATTCTACCTTTCTAGATTCTATGATTAAAAAAACTGATCAAGTTTGTTATAGAAGATTGCATTCAAGCTATATTGTTGGTACTTAGTACCAACAGACCCAAGACTCAGCAAGTAGACCCAAGACTCAGCATTGACTGAAGATTGGATGAGGAGCTTTTCTAGTTTGTATGAGTCAGTGCCACAAAAGAGAAAAGAGGCATAAAATTCTGAAAGATATTCCAATGAAAATATTGGGAATTTTGTAGCTGTTAACATTTGGTTGTGACTATAAAAGAGCAAGATAAACACATGCCAATACCATGACTTGTTTTATTGCATTGCACTCTAAACAACTTATCCTGTGAAACAGGATGTTGTCCTTAAACCGTATACTTTTGGAATAAATATTTGAATGCAACGAAAACTAAAGCATGCTGGAAAAACACCCCAGCGACCATTACAGCACACCTACTACATTGAGATTAGAGACAGTGCGGGGGGGAGTGGGGGAGGGGGAGTGGGGAGGGGGCTGAAGTGGGAGTAAGGAAACTTTAGACCACATTGGGATGCAGCTCCACCAGACGTCGAAATGTTGATGGTGTTTTGGGGTTTGGGATTGAAATTGAGGGATTGCTGACCAGGTCAGCGGGAGAAGCTCCCTTCTCTTTTCCTACAAAATGCGGTGTAGAAAGAAACCCAGTCTCCAGTGACTGGTCTGCCCCTCCAAGACCTGGTAAGAAGCCAGGATGGTTAATTTTAATTGCATAACATTTCAAGCATTTATTCTGTTGCTGGTGGAAAGTTTCACTGTTTGTGTTTGTCCCTTTGTTCACTAGGAGTCTGGGGAGCGCCTTTTCCACTTTATTCAACCGAGCGCTCGGAGTTTAGACTATGTGAGTTCAAATCCCGACATGTGTCTTGAACCACAACCTTCTGACTCAGAGGTGAGAGTGCTACCAATTGAGCCAGGCTGACACACCAAGCAGGTATGAAAGAGAATGCATCAGCATAGGGTTTCTGTTTACTCTGGGACTGGCTAGATGGACCGCAATGGTCGTTTCCGTTCCTGTGAAGAGCTAGTACCATATCATTGCACTGTATGGGTAGGAATTCTAGTCTGTAGATGACCTATGGCTATAACAATGATTCCAAAGCCCAATCCAATATGTCCATAATGGATGGCAGATGCACAAGTGAATCATCATTTAGAGCCTCAGGGAACACAGTGCAGCAATCTCCTGTCTAGACAGGTTTCGCTCCGCAATGAATTTGTTTACAGACCCATTTCTGAATTGCTCGCGCAGGTAGAGAATAAAGCATTGTGTTACGCGAGAATGAGTACAATGAGACATATTTCAAGCACTGCAAACTGAGGGGATTTCAGGAGAACAAATCAATTGTTGTATGATGCTTGACTAGATAAACTAAACACAGTTTTCAGATAAGCCAAGGTGAGAAGGTAGAAGTGGGCACAGATCCAAGCCTGGGAGGAAAAAGATTAGGACAAGATACCAAGAAACCTTTCCTTACATAAGGAGGGATCAATAGTTGAAAAATGTAACCATGAAGTTGAGACCAAGTAAATTGACTGATTGTGAGAAATTGCCATGCGCAACTGGCTGCTGTGTTTCAGCCGCAACAATCCATTTTACAGTATATCCTGAGAAGTGTTTTGAGACGTCTCAAATGACGTGATAAGGTGCTATATCAAATGCAAGAATTATTATTATATTATTATTATCTATGAAACTGCTGGATGCTGTAATCGGAAGATGGCAGAGCTGATATCTGGAAGGACGTTCATTGTTAGTGTCTGACACATTCTTAAGAGCATCCAAAGCAACATCCTGAAAGTTCCATGGTTATCCTGCACCCAACACATTGGGACATGAGACGTTGGCTGGCAAGTTTAATAGGATCCACAAGAGAAGAATCTCAACCCTCAAATATTCTGAAAGGATAATATTTGGCTGTTTGTGGCATACTGTTATGATGAAGAGAGTGTGTCCTCTCTAGAGAGCAACATCTTCTTAAGGCGATTTTCTACATCTAAGACACCTAGATAAAATTTAGCATTTGCACTGTTTGTGGGTCACTGCAAACTGGCTGCTGCTTTCCTACAAATACAGTCAGCTTGCTTCACAGTAAATCCTGCAATCGCTTTGAGATGTCCTCCCGACCTGAAAGAAGCTACAGCAAACGCAATGTTTGTTTATTATTATCACATCCATCAAATGAGCCGAACGACCACTTTCCCTCAAGATATTGTTGACTCACGTTGTGAACCAGTGTTTCGCCAATGAGCATTCCAAAGACATCAGTGAAGGTGACAGGCTGCCCCAAGTGTTTCTTTTTCCACAATTCTTCGACGTAGCTTTTGATCTTCTGTGGCGTCAGCAGGAACATGGGACTGTGACTAACACTTTCCATCAGCTCCTCATTAATCTCTCCGGGGCTCTTGTTTGGGAAGTCAGGGTGAGAGTACAAGGTGGACATGTACCTAGTTAGCAAAAGGAATCTTTACTGTTATAACAATAATAATCATCATCCTCGCACTTGGTATAGCATCTATTATGGCTGCAAAGATCACCTTAATCAGCAGAGATTGTGTGTCAAACCTGGGTCCTTCCATTGTGCAGTAAATTACCATTGTGTGATTATCTAATGTGGTTTGCCAATTCTGATACGTACAGTATTGAAAGAATGTTAGAAGATTATGGAAAAACAATATCGACTGACTTACCAAGTGGAGCCAGACAGTCCAGCAATATATGTGGCACAGTCAAAAACTCCAGACTCTTCCAAGGCCTTTATAACACCAGAAAACCCAACCATTGCTCGAAAGCCACCTCCAGAACCCAAAATAGCTATTGTTGGTACCTGAAAGACAACCGGGAAACTGTTCAATGTTATGCGATTCCCTGTGTGTCATATGTGTGTCATATGACCACAATGAGCCCATAATTGATTTCCACGTTTTGCACCCAAAATACACAATCAATTCACTTTTCAGTATATTCTATCAAGCGCTTTGAGATGTCTCAACGATGTGATAAGGCTCTATATCAAATGCAAGGATTATTATTATCTTGTGAAAAATATATATGTAGCGGTAGCACAGACTCGATGAGCTGAATGCCCTCTTTTGTGCTGAAAATTTTGGCCACATTTTACAGTTAGGTGGGTCAGCCTACTTATGTTGGGGCTGAATTCCCGAATGTCCGATTAATTGAGCTAGGATACACACATATACAAAGAGACTATTCTTATCTGCAGGGCGCAGAAGTGCTGAGAAAAATACTTAAGTGGGTTAGTTTGAAAGTACGTCAAGGTTCTGAGCACAGGCTGCCTGTCTCTGCCAAAAGATATTGGCACGTACACTCGGAATAATTCCTTCATTGTTAATGCTCCCTCCGCTCAATGAACCTGCTTGATGGTCCCACCCAACCGGGTAAGCTTTCAGCAACTGCCTGTGTTCTCTGAAACTCCATCTCGGAGTCCCTCCACTCTCCCAACTCTAAAGCCTGTCTTAAGACCTTTCTTTTTGATGTGCTCTTGGCCGTCTCTTCAACCTCCCACCTTCCTAGGCTCCCACCCACCCTCTCAGCTCTGGCTCTCAGCCGGATCTGTGAAGCACTTCAAGACGTCCTCCCGATGTAAAAGGCACTGTATCTACGTAAATTGTTGCTCAAGATGATTTTTCTTGCTTGAAGTTTGGAGACTGATGGCAAATTACTTTGGAATTCATCAGATCCCAAACTCCAGGCTGGGAAAGTCAATGATGGGACGAGACCAGCGGTGGGACCAGACTCCCATTCCACCTGTGTGTCAGCTACAGGGGGAGACGCAAGATGGCGGCGAAGTCGGTAGTATCGACCCGTTTACACCTTAGGACTGTGGGAGTCGAAGCACATTGTGAACTAGGCTTACACTGGGAGCTCGGATGGGCAAGTGTCTGGACGTAAACATCTGATTATGAAAATAAAACATCCTCCCATTGTCAAACACATAGTTTGCCTGACTGCTCACTATTTCCTGGTGACACTTCACAAAGGACAGAATCATAGCAACAAAGAAAACAATTTGATCCATTGAGCCTATGCTCATACCACCTCCTTGACTAGAGTTATACAGCCTAATTTGAAGTCCTCACCATCTCCGCACATCTTTAATTGCTTTCTCTCTAAATATTTATCCAACCCCCTCTTAAATGTGGTTATAATCATAGCTTCAACAGTCACTTGTGGCAAAGCATTTTTTTTATTATCCGAGAGCGTGAAAAAAATCTAACCTTCCCTTAACTCTTCCAGTGACCATCCTTTGCTCTAGGTAACTCAGAGCATTGCCCTAGTAACACGGATCAATGCTGAGGTGATAAAGAGCATTGCCCTTGTAATAACACAGACTATTGCCCTGGTAATAACACAGACCATTGTTCAAGAAACCCAACCCAGTGCTCATTGTTGGGGAACCCTGGATCTGACATTTACCTCACGAACTGAATGTGGTGCTGCAGCAGAATTGTTTGGGCCGAGGAGCTTTTTAATTCCTTCCAAGACCTCTTCTCTCCTCTTCTGCCTGAAGGTCTTCTCCTCATCGCACAGTGCCATGCTGAACCTCAGGTCTGATGAAGAACTGAAGGAAAAGACAGGGAGAGATTGCAGTAGCATTTATGTTCACCTTCTGGAGAGACGTCACAATGGTGTAAAGTACCATAGAAACATATTCCTTAAAGATAATTATCTGGCATTGGATCATAATATGTAGACACACCAATGCTGGGCTAGGGGAGCGCTGCATTATCGGAGGTGCTGTCCTTCAGTTGAGACTTTAAACCAAGGTCCCGCATGCCTGTTCAGGTTGATGTTAAAGATCCCTTGTCGCTACTTGAAAAGAGAAGGGAGTTTCTCCCGGTGTCTTGATCAACAATCCTCCAGATAAAACTGGTCATGACCGTTTGTTGGATCTAGCTGTATGAATACAAAGTCACTACACTTTACAATAATTATTTACGCTGGCGTCACAGGCAGCGGAGTTAACTGGATACATACCAGACTTCCAAGTGCATGTCCAGAAACACAGTCGTCACCTGGAAAAAGTTGAGAAAGGGATGAACAATGGGTACGCATAAAGTCAGCACTTTCACAGTGATGTCCCATCTCTGAGAAGCAGCAGCATGAGTCCCCATGCTCCACATCATCTACTTATGATGCTCTGGATCCAAAGTCCCTGGTCAGAGCTTAAGCTTATAGTCTAGGCTGAATCTCCAGCGCAGTACTGTGAGATGAGGAGGGGGAAGCACTGCATTCTTGGGAGTCATCAACTTGTTCAGGTGGACTTTATACATTCCATAGCACTGTTCAAAAACAGACTAGAGATCCTCTCAGTGTTCTAACCACACACACACAGATTTAAAAAAATAGCCTTCACTCAACTAGCTTGGGTCTTCTGCATATTCCTCGTTCCCTGCATTGCACGATTAGCAACTGTACTTTTAGACACTATGCCTCAAACCTCTGAAAATCGCTGACTCAATCCCTCCATCTTGCCCCCTCTTTGGCCATCTTCAAATCACACCTGAAGTCTTTCCTCTTCGACCATGCCTTCAGTCACCTCCCCTCTCTTTTTGGCTGACCATCAAGCTACGTCGCTGGTAAGCACTTTGAGATGCTACCCACATGAAAGCCACTATGTAAATGCAAGCTGTTATAATAATAATAATAATAATAATAATAATAATAGTAATAATAATAATCCTTGCATTTGATATAGCACTTTTCACGTCTTCTAGACATCCCAAAGCGCTTCACAGAATATACTGCAAAGTGAATTAACTGTATATTTGTGGGCGTGGCAGCCAATTGCGCACAGCAATGTCCCACAAACAGTCATGGACTGAAAATGCCCAACTTATTATTGTTTTGTTTTTTGGAGGGATTATTATTAGGCGTTGTTGTGGTCATTCAGTCCATAGGTGTTTAGGAGATTTGAAGTGTAAAAAATATGTGCCATATGTGCCTACAAAATACACAGTTACTGCATTATATTTGACAAGCATTTCCTTTGAAGCACTTTAATATAATTTTGACATGAGGGGCTATTAAAATGTAGGTTCCTTTTTATAAAGCGCCTCCTACAAAGTGTCAAAATAAACTATCCTGGGAAAGTTTAACTCATCTTGAAAGGTTGGAGTGATCATGAATGTTGTCACCTTTAAATAATAACCTAGGAAATATTCAGGTCGTTAAAAGATTTCTATCTAGCAGGTTTTTGTGAGTATTCCAATAATTCTATCACTAACGATGAAGAAACAGCACTGCAAAATCTAACTTCAGAATAGTAGTAATAAGCTTTGCATCTGATATAGCAAATTATCGCAATGTTGAAACATCTCAAAGGGATTCACAGGATTTATTGTAATATTTTACTATATATTTTGTGGGTGAACTTGGCAGGCAATTTGCATGCAGCAATATCCTACGAACAGCTGTGACGTAAATGACCAATTTTATTTGGGAGAGAGTTGGGAGAAACTCCCTTCTCTTTTAGACTAGCACCATAGGATCTTTAACGTGCACCTGAACAGGCAGACGGGACCCTGGTTTAACATCACCTCTGACAATGCTGCACATCCCCAGCCCTGCATTGAGGTGTCAACATGTCATGAACCAATGACAGATAATTACCTTCAAGGAGAAGGAATGATGGGTTTCCAGGATTTTTTGTTGGCATTCTTATCAATGACGATAATCAGGGGCTGGGGTAGGAGAAGGCTATGGAGTTGGTGGGGGGGGAGGTCATTCTGTTTGAAAAGTGAACCAGTGATAGGTGCCTTACACAGAGCCAGGACCTGGAAGAGTACTTAGCGTACAGACTGCATTGTACTGCAATGCAAGGTCACAGCGAGCGCCTTCGTGAATGTTTAACTAGTCCTGACACGAATTATCAAGAAACATGTGGTCTTTGGATAACAAAGCAGGAAGTAATCAACGAGTGGTTACGGACCGGGACCCCGAAGAGAAATGAGTGATTGCGGGGCCTGGAAGACTGACACGCTGCTCAGATGTTCCTGGAGATCAGCCACTTTCAAAGCCTTATTGACTCACAATGTAACATCTGAGACTCTGTCTCCACTGCTGTCCTTGTGAAAGGCCAATCTTAAGTCAAAAGAACATAACGTGTTAAACAGTCACACCGCCCACCTGCAGCCCTTGTCCAAAGATTTGCTCAACACATTCCTTCCGTTATCAATAACTAGTGGCGAACAGCCAAGAAGCTTGTTCTCAAGGCTGGAGATTTTATTCTCCCAGCTTCGATTTCCTCACTCAGTTTCACTGCACTTTCCTCACTTACAGATAAGTGCACCAGCATTGAAGTGCTATCATGAGCAATACACATTCGTGCCACTATAATCTTATCAAACAGGAATGTAAAAGCATTACATGAGAACATAAGAACATAAGAATTGCTACATGAAAGAAAACCAAGGTCCATCCAATTTGCCTTCCACCATCCTGGCAATTGCACGCTCATGTCCCTATAATAATAATAATAAAAATCCTTCGATTTTGAATATAGCGCTTTTCACGTCGGGAGGACGTCCCAAAGCGCTTCACAGAAGACACTGTAAAGTGAATTGACTGTATATTGTCCCACAAACAGTCGTAGATTGAAAATGACCAATTTATTACTGTTTTTGGTTTTGGAGGGATTATTATCCATCCAAAATCCTATATACTATATCCCAACATATTATTTCCTAAAATAAATCTATCTAATTTGCTTTTGAAAGAATCTTTACAACTGTAATTAAACCAGGACTTTTGTCCATTTCAATCAGACCACATCTGCCTAATAACCCTGTGAGACAAAGCCCTGGCGTGATCCTAGCTGGACACACAACGGGAATCTTACCGGTGCTCTTCTACTTGAACCTAGTACATCCACTAGGGTCATGGAGTCAAATAATATTAATAATAATAATAATCCTTGGATTTGATATAGCACTTTTCACATCTTCTAGATGTCTCAAAGCGCTTCACAGAATATACTGTAAAGTGAATTGACTGTATATTTGTGGGCAAAACGCGGCAGCCAATTGCGCACAGCAGTGTCCCATAAACAGTCGTAGATTGAAGTGACCAACTTATTATTATTTATTTTCCTTTAGGGATTATTATCAGGCATGTGGAGTAAGGAAACTTGCCCAAGGTTTCACCCTGCCGGGAGTCAAACCCAGGTCCCTCACTTGCAAGGCGAGTGCTCTAACCACTGAGCTACAGGACTCCACCGTCAAAACCATAACAAGTATGGGGCGCCTAGCTGAACAAACAGCTGGAAAACGTACCAGACAGCAATTTCAATGACAAGCTATGTGGTTTTAGCTGGTTAGACTCCAGCAGTACTCCAACGCACACTTTGGGGTCCCCAAGCTTTGACTTCCGACAACCTGCACCTAATAATTTCCGGAATTAGGTAAGCAGGATGTGTCCCTCCAGGAAGTGAGTGTGCATACCATTCCAACATTATATCTCTGGGATTTCCATGTGTCGGTGGAATGCATGGAAATCTTTTTGGTTTGGATACTCTTAAGCATAGTGATGGGTTTCCACATGTGTCAGACAGCTGGTGGACCAAAACAAAACCTAGCTGGTTAAACTACAGCAGTACCACAATGCAAACTGTTGGGTCCCCAAGCTTTGACTCTTTCCAAACCATACCTAAGCTCTTAGGTAATCAGTGAATTCTGGGCAGAGTGTGCGTACTCCATTGCCGGACAAACGGAAACAATACATATGTTGTCTTCATTTGGAGGCTCTTAAGCATAGTGATGAATTTCCGTGTGGGTGGAGATTGGCATAAAATTTATTATTATGATTATTATTGTGAAAAAAAACGTGTGGTGAAGAAAATAAGGACATTTAATTTTTTTTATTTGTAGCTTAAATGAATAAAGACAGGACCAGGGGAATGGTTTGGAGTAATCAAGGTTAATTGCCCTTGGCAGCAGATTCTCAGAGGTGATAAGTAGAATAGCAGTCTTCTTGTTTCAGCCATGAAACAGATTCACAACTCTCAGAATCTAGGCTCAATAACAAGCCAGTCAAATCCTAAGAGAAGTTTAGCACAAACAAGTTCAGGAATGTTGATGGGAGTGGAATGCAGCATAAGCCCAAACAGTTGGTGAACGTTACAGTTTTGTGGTTGTTTTTAAAATTATCTTTTCACTCATGCCCGTTGACTACCCCCCACTCCCACCACATCCCCCCTGGGGCTGCTCAGCGGGTATCAGCAGGTTAATAATCCCCTAAAAAAACACACAAAATTTGATCACTCACTCCTCGACTGTTTGTGGGACACTGCTGTGCGCAATTGGCTCCTGCGTTTCACCCACAAAATACCTAGTCACTCCACTTTACAATATATCCTGTGAAGTACATTGAAAAGGCTCAATGATGTGTTAAGGCGCTATATCAAATGCAAGGATTATTATTATTATTTATCTGAGAGCATGCCAATGCTGTCACTTTTTCCCTTAGGTTTCCTGAGCACTCCGAGTAAAGAGCGCTATGTAAATGCAATTTGTCGTAGTTTGTCTCTCTCCAATGAGGCTCCAATGTTTGGGCGAATGGCAGGAGAATGCATGCAACAATCCCTGTCCCCTTTCCAAAATCTCCCCCCCCGCCTCCTTCCACCATCTCTCGAATCACGCCACATCTCTAATCAGATCCTGGCTCAAAACTTATCTGCAGCTGGACTATCTCACCAGGACATGGGGAGGGGAGGAATGGAAACCACAGAGGAGGCCTCACGAGAGGAAAGAACCTCTCACAAAGACAGCTGCCTGACTCAACGTTGTGCTGTATATGTATTTGTTATGCAAGCCTTTCAAAGCTGCTACAAGTTTATAACAAGCTTAGATCCAGATTGAAGCCTGGGGTAGATTCGAGCCAGACACTGATTCGACTGTCTGTTATATAGGCAGCAACAAAAAGTCACAATTATAGATGTTACATCAAGGCCAGTATAGTGTTGTGAAGGTGGGTGAGGGTATTTATTATATGCTGAAATGGTCCATTGTACATCTGTTCTCACCAGTTTGTAAGGCAACTAACAAGCTACTAGAAATGGTGAGTCCCTTCGGTCTCAGGTCCTCACTTGATATATACCCATGGCAGCACTGGGGGATTAGGGGAAGGAACAGAAAGAAGGGGAACTGGGTCTATTGATGGTAACTCTACAGATCAAGGATTGTATTAAACTCTTACTTCATTGAAGAGAAACGTCACTTCCTTGTGTTCTCCTGCTTTGATGCTCTGCGCAATATTGAAGGATGTTGTCCCCAAGGTTTCATCCATCACGTAGTTTGCATCCAAGAGGGTAATCTACAAAAGGAACACAAATCCATCCTTTCAAGCCAATCAATCAACCTCATCCAAGAGTTGTACTCTCCAACCTTTCACATCACACAGAATCTAACCATGCCTGAACTGTCGGTTGATCACAATTAGTTTTTTAAGTCAAAATAAAAAACTTCCTGACTCAAATAGGGATCTGACACTGAATTCTAACAGTTTGCCCAAATGTCCGTTCTTCATGAGGAAGAAAAGAAGACGACAGATTATTGAACCAAGACTACATCTCAACATTGATATGAGAGCATTGTGTGAGATGCTTTGAGAAATTTTAGCATATTCATGCTCTATAAAGTGTCAGCCTGGCTCAAATAGTAACAGTTCAGCCTCAGAATCAGAAGGCTGTGGGTTCAAATCCTACATCGGATCTTTTGGAACTCATAGTTTAGGCTGACTCTCCAGTGCAGTGCTGGGTGAGTCTGACGTGTTAGCCTGTGAATGATATGTTCAACTGAGGTCCCATTTGCTAGTTCAGGTGGATGTTAAATATCCTGTCGCAGTATTCGAAAACGGAGGTTTTCACAGTCTCCTGGCTAACAATCCTGCACATTAAAAATTGGTCATTCATTTTTGACCTTTTGTGGCATGTTTCCATCTTCAATGGAAAAGAAGTTATATATTTGACCATATGTTTTGTTCCAGTTTGGGCCAAGGCTCGAAGTACAGTGGGCCTGAAATTCCACTTTGTTTTAACCTGGAAGACAATTTTGCCTTAAGTTCACACAGACGATTGCGTAAAATTCTTAAATCCAGTCTTCCGTTGAAAAAACTGTCCTTTTCAAAGAACTGCGGAAAACTGGCTTCTGAGTGAAAAACAAATTCAGGAATTTTCCACAATTAAAATTTAATTTAGAAGAGAAAATAGCCCTTTGTTAAGGAGCTTGTAGCAATTTGCATATTCAAATCAGTTGCATAACCACTAAGGCAAAAGTCTCATCATTGTGTCTACGTCCAGAAGACGACTTTACCTTCATTAGCAACAACTTGCATTTATATATTTTATGCATTTATATAGTGCCCTTCACGCAGGCTAGCGTCCCAGAATGCTTGACTGTGGCAGAGCACGATGCTGAGCCAGGGGGAGTGGGAGGTGACCGTAGGTAAGGTTGAATAGGAAGGTCTTCAGGTGCAACTTGAAGATGGGGAAGGAAGGGGCAAGGCTGAGAGATATATCCCCAATAAGCAGGTCTCCTTAGAGTTGAACTGGCTCCAAGGTGACATGCTTGGCAACGAAATGTTGGAATCGAGCCAGCACTACAAGGCAATCTCGGTAGTCCGGTTCCTGAGCCAGGCAGGTCCGCAGTATTCCAGGGCTGATGACAGCACAGCTAGGCTGGCTCATTGCCAGGACCTGGAAGGGCAGATAATCTATGTCTGGAATTTCCATGTGTAAGTGGGATGCATAGAATTCTCAGTTTGGTTTGGATACTCTTAAGGATGGTGATGGGTTGCCACATGTGTCAGACACCCAGCTGATCAGAAACAAACTTTACCTCCATAATGTTTCTCTCGTTTGGGTCCAGAATGAACTCGAACGTCTCGTTCCATTCTGGGTTCACAATATTGTTGAGGTACTTTGTCCGTTTCCGTCCCTCTGGTGATGTGGCAATGAATATCTCCACATAAGGGTCGGGAGTGTCAACTAGGCACCAAAAAATAAGCCAGACTCTGTTAGGAAAGGTCCCATCTCTAGAACAGTAAACTCCACCAGTTCCCATTCCCTTGGCTCCACCGTTAGTGTTAACACGTTGATAATCGAAAACATAATAGCACTGTTAAATTCAAAATGATTTAATTTAGTGAATGTTTTACTTTAAATTGAGGAATCTTGACATTGGTGAACAGAACATTTGCCCATTTATGCTCCTTTCCAGCACTTCCAGGTCAGGCACAGCAAGGCAAAAGGCAGAGTAAAGCTCACCTTACTCTGTCCCAGCAACTTAATTATAATAACATTTGCATTTGGTATATCGCCTTTCATATCGGGAGGACGACCACTGACATATAAATGTCTCAAAGCACATCAAAGTGAGCTTGGCAGACTAATTGTGCGCAGTAATGTCCCACAAATAGTTTTGAAATGAATAACCAATTTTATTTGGTGGATTGTTGGCCTGGACACCAGGAGAAATGCTTTTCTCTTTTCAAATAGTGCCATGGCAGACAGGATCTTGATTTAACATCTCCTGTGAAAGACGGCACCTCCGACAATGCAACACCGCCCTAGTGATGCACTGGGGTGGCAACTCAGACTGTGTGAGTCAAATCCCCAATGCAAGGCTTCAACACACAAGCCTTTGATTCAGAGGCGAAGGTGCTACCAACTGAGTCAGGCTGGTCCTCGATCCTATCTGCTAAAAATGTGACTCAACATACCAGTGTGATGCATTCACTTTGATGCATTCTTAGATATTAGCCTGGCTCACTGTGTAGCTCTCTCAACTCTGCGTCAGAAGGTTGGTGGTTCAAGCTTTGAGTTCACAGTCGAGGCTGACACAGCAAGGCTAGATAAAGGGCAATACACCAAAAATTGTAGTTGAGCGCTGTGTTATTGTCAATTTTGATGTTAAACTGAGATCTCATCTACCATTCATGGGCATTAAAAGCCCCGTGGGACTACTCAAAACAAGAACGAGTTTCTTCTGGAGTCCTGGCCAACATCCCCCAGAAAAAAATGGTTATTTGCTTAATGTTGTGGGATGCGTTTGTGGCATTTGGGCACAAATACAGAGTCAGTAATTACGCTTTGAGATGTTTCAACATTATAAGCGCTATGCCAAATTCTGGTCATTTTAGGGAAGTATTATTGAGGCATTGCTTGCAACTGTTACATTGCTTAATGTTGCCTTTCATACGTCAGTGGTCAACGGAAGCACCTCGTTACAACATTTTTAGCAACTCCCACATAAAGCTAAGCCATATTCAAAATTGTTATCACACAGCTTGTGCGCGGTCGTCTCTGGACTTGAACCCGGTTTCCTCCATTTACATCTATTGATCTTGAAAAGAAAGAATCATTGAAAATGAGAATCTGAGACAGATTCTCACAGAATGAGAGATGAACATAAACAACACACATGTGCACAAACACACTGAAGAGACAGTCTGAAACACACACACATACACAGGAAAGATGGATATCAGAGAGCCAACAAGAGAGCGAGAGACTCACACAGACACACACGTGCAGAAGAGAGTCAGAGAACCAGCAAGAGAGAGAGACACACGCATACACAAACACAGATATAAGAGTGAGATAGAGATACATAAGCATTGAAGAGACAGCAATGTCCCACAAACAGTCGTGGATTGAGTGACCAAATTATTTATTTATTTGTGAAGGGATTATTTATCCCAGAAAAGCAATCTGCCAATCGATTTACAACCGGGTTCCTACTTACTGCTAGGTAAATAGTGGTGTGTGGAGTAAGGAAACTTGACTAAAGTTTTGCCTTGCCCGGAAATTGAACCCAGGTCCTCTCGCTAGACGATAGACAGATACGGCCATGTGGTCATTATAAAAGTAGTGCGGAAATATTGACTTTCAGTAAGCAAAGAATATCAGACATGATACCATTTGATCAGATCTGAAATCAACTCAGCAATGTACTGTACTTACGCATATCTCCGAACGTCCCCTTTGTTACATTTTCAGCTCGTAGAATGGTGACTTTCAGTCTGTGAGATACTTGGTGCTCTACCTGGGAAACAATGAGAAAGTAGTGTTTAAAATCCAGGGTTACGAGAAGACAGGAGACTCTGTGTAGCCAGTGAAAAACTGTGGCAATTCGTGCTCTGACCGTATTCCACAAAATTACTGACCTTTTCACTTTTCAGACTTTGTATAAAACCCTGTGTTTATAGCTCAGAGGCTTCAACCTTCATAGTAACTATAGAAATTTACAGCAAAGAAGAAGGCCATTCGGCACAATGTGTCTGTACTGGTTCTTTTAAAGAGCAATCCTTTATAATCCCTCCCCCTCTTGATCTATTCCCCCCCCACCCCCCCCAACCTGTTAGCTCCTTGGCATCCTGTCCCAGAAGTGTCCTCTGCCAGTAACTCCTGAGCCATTGTAAAATGGTATCACATATGAATTCCTCACATTTCATACATAGTCGAGAACATCTCAAACTCTTAACAAAGTTTCTTTAAAGTGTAATGACTTTGGATTTTTTTAGGTGAACACGACATCCGATTTGAATGTCTGTAGGTGGATGTTAAAGACCCTGTAACACTATTCAAAAAGACAAGGGAGTTCTCCCAGTGTCAGCCTGCTTCAGTCAGTAATGCTCTCATCTCTTGACTCAGAAGGTTGGAGGTTCAAATCCCATGTCAAGACTTGAATTCACATAGTCCAAGATGACACTCGAATGCAGCGCTGGGGGGGATGTTGCATTGTTGGAGCTGCTGTCTTTCGGATGATGTTCCGTCTGCCTGTTAAATATCCCTGTGCCGCTATTCAAAAAGAGAAGGGAATTTCTCCCGGTGTCCTGGCCAACTAAATCCCCCAAATGAAATTGATCACCCACTCCACAGCTGTTTGTGGGACATCATTGTGCACGTTTGCTGCCACATTTGCTTACAAATACACAGTTACTCCATTTCACAGTAAATCCTTCCGATGTGATAAGACTCTTTACCAAATGTAAGGATAGTGATGATTATTATTATAAAGTAGTCAAATATTTGCTTTATGGCAGATTTGTGGGACATCGCTGTATATAAATTAGCTGCCTACAAATACACAGTCACTACAACTCACAGTAAATCCAGTGAAGTGCTTTGATTTTCTCTCCCCGACAAGAAGGGCGCAATATCAAATGCTTTATTATTTTCATTGCTTCAAAGCAACTTGGAGCAAATATTGGACATTTGTCCTGGAACGCTGCAGTAGAAAGACTAAAAGAACAGAAAAATATTTTGTCTCATCCAACTTGCTGGCTGGTCCTTATGACCCAGCTAAGGAGATACTGTCAAATCCAGGAGCAGGCAAAGTAGATTTAATAAATTGAGATACAGGCAGCTGCCACACAAGGTCATTTCAAGACTTTTTATGATGAATTGGGATTGGGGGAACATTGATCACAAGACCTGGAGGTGGTGGATCAGTAAGAAAGCAACAAGAAGTGATGGCACAGATACAGCGAATTTCACGTGGGATAGTGTTTTGAAGCGCTGAACAATGGTGTTGTTTAACCCCAAACTGGGAAGAGAAGGGATTTAACTGTAGGCATAGTCGAAGAGGAAAGTCTTCAGGTGAGATCTGAAGGCAAGGAAAGATGGGATTTGTTATTTCAAAATATATGTTACATAAGACATCCTGCAAAGCCAAACTAGATATTTCAACCCCCAAACACCCAAACATCGCTCCACGCTTTAGGTATGAAAAGCACCAGGTATCATTGTTGTTCACCTCTATAGAAGCTTGCACTCTGTTACTGTGGTTGACTGTGTGGTTGTCTACCTTCATGTGGTGTGCACATGATAAGATTCAAAGCAGCACCACTTTCAAAGCCTTTGGTCCTTTTGGTGTGTTTTTTTCCTTCTGTGTGATGGTAAAGCAGTTATTAAATTAAACTGATTGCTCTATGTTCTGTCCTGAGTTGTCGATTTGGCTCATTTGGCAGCACTCTTGCTTCCAGCTCAGAAGTTTGTGCTTGTCACACTCGCACTCCCACCCTCAATAAGACCAGGGGCAGGGATGTTTCCCACTCAGGTAGGGTGGTCCTAGCTGGACATGCAGAAGACAATATGTGTGCTGTTTTAGCTGGTTAAATTCAAACAGTAACCCAACAAACACTCCAGGAATCCCAAGCCTCAGTTCTTGATGACCTGCTCCTAATATCCCTGGGATTTGGTGAGCAGGGTGCATCCCTCCAGGGAGAGTGTATGAACTCCATTCCATTTGTAGGTGAATGAGTCAGTCAACTTGTGCACATCAACTTTCCACAAAGAGCCAGGGCGTGAATGATCAATTTATTATAATAATAATAATAATCCTTACATTTGATATAGATTCTTTCACGTCAGGAAGGCATCTTAAGGTGCTTCACAGGACATATTGTAAAGTGCAGCGACTATATTTTGTGCGGGGGAAACTCCTTTCTCTTTTGGAATCGTGCCATGGGATATTTAACTACCACCTGAACAGGAAGAGCCTGAATAGTTTATGTTGATTCTGTCATCCATTCATATTATTTTCCTCATTCTGCTTCCCCTCCCAACAATTGGAAATGGAAATTTCCACATTTGTTTCTCAGTTTCACTATAATTCTACAGACTTACAGCAAACCTTGTAATGAAGCACATGCCATAGAAGCACTGACTTGCCGTACTAGAAAATCATCCACCCGCTGGAAGCTGCTGTCCCTTCAATACAATTCAATTCAATGCAAGTCAGATCCACATTGCTATGATGTTGACGTCAAATTAATGTTTAGTAAAATACCTCGTGATGACACGAGAGTAACCTTTGAGGATGTATATTTATAGCTGCAAGCACCACCCAAAGCTGCAGAGAATAAACACCAACCTTTAACAATTTAATAACTTGCGTCAAGAAGCAGATTTCTCATGCTTGTAACATATACATCAATATACACAAGAATTTAATCTATTTAAAACTACACAGGCCCTTTATAGAATTTGGTGCTATGATATGTAACAAGTGCTTCACACACTCCTTGTGCTGTTACTTAAATTGAAACTAATACTGCTGTATCATGCCATGCGAAGATCTCACAGATACAAGGGCCCACCTATTCCCTTTTCGTCATGTTCATTCTATTCTCATATCTGCCCGTTCAGGTGTACATCAAAAACCCCATGGCATTATTCGAAAAGAGAAGGGACTTTCTCTCACGTGGTGTCCTGTCCAACAATCCCCCAAATAAAATTGGTCACTCACTTCATAGCTTTTTCTGAGACATTGTTGTTTGCAAAACTGGCTGCCGTGCTTGCCCCCAAAATTCACAGTCATTTCACTTTACAGTATATCCTGTGAAGCACTTGAGATGTCTCGATGACGTGATAAAGCATTACATCAAATGTAAGGATTATTATTTCTTCACAAGCATATTATGGGCTCAAGCCCCTTCTCACAACCTATGCAGACGCATCAGTGCCATGTTTGGAGAGTGCTGCATTGTTGGAAGGTGCCATCCTTTGGATGAGAGGTTAAACCGAGATTACATATGTCTGATCAAGTGGACTCCAAGGATCCCTTGGTGTTATTTGAAAATAGAAGGGAATTACCCCCGGTATCCTGGCCAACAATCCCCCAAATAAAATTTTGGTCATTCACTTCATGGCTGTCAAACTGATTATTGATTATCAATATACACTTTATAGCAATTATCTATGAATAGCCTATCTATTATGGCCTTGAGACATTTTGACATCACATGCAAGGACTTACTATATTATCATTATTATTGTTCAACAACAACAACAAAATTACATTTGTACAGCAACTTTCATGTTGGGAGGACAGTCAGTGTTCTGGACCCGAGCTGGGGGTTCGGGATTGGAGAGAGTGGAGGCAGGGGGGGAAGCAGGGTGATCAAAAGCACGGTCGAAGACGAGGCTCTTGAGATGGGTCTTGAAGGAGTCAAGGCAGGGAGTGAGTCGGAGCGACTGCGGGATGGAGTTCCAGAGGATAGGGGCAGAGTGGCAGAAAGCCCGCCCGCCAATGGTGGGGCGGGTGAGGTGGGGAATGTGAAGCAGGCCAGAGCCCGCTGAGCGGAGGGAGCGGGCAGGATAGAGGGGCTTAGGAAGCTGCAGAGGTAGGGGGGAGCAAGGCCATGGAGGGCTTTGAAGGTGAGGACCAAGATCTTGAACTGGATCCTCTGTGTGATGGGAAGCCTGTAGAATTGGGCAAAGATGGGGCGATAGGCTCACGAAGCCTGGCCCGGCAGAGGGCCTGGGCTGCAGTGTGCTGGATTATCTGCAGCCTATGGAGGGAGGAGTTGGGGAGGTCAACAAGCAAGGAGTTTGCATAGTCAAGCCTTGATGTTATGAATGCATGTATGAAGGTTTCGGCTGCGGTGTTAGACAGTGGCGGAGCTGGGCGATGTTGCTGAGGTGGGGGAAGGCAGAGCGGGTCATGGCACGGATGTGGGGTAGAAAGGATAGCTGAGAGTCAAACAAGACACGTTCCGGATTGGCTTAGTGAGGTGGAGTGTGCAACCATGGATGGTGATGCTGTCAGCGCCTGAGGTGTGGGGGCACTGATGGGAGTCAATCAGGAGGGCCTCAGGCTTGTTGATGTTCAACTGAAGAAAGTTATCTCTCATCCAGTACTTGATGTCTGACAACCTGGATTGCAAGAGAGGCATGAAATTTCCCAAGGTTTGTAGAAAACTCTTGGCTCTGTACCAGTTGCCCTAAGATGCACTGACGAGATTTGCGTTGACAAGGGAGTGTACAGGTTGATAAAGTGCAGTGACTGCACATTTTCTGGATGAACATATTCATTTAAAGACAAAAAGAAAGCCACGTTTACTTGCATACCAATTCATATTAAATATACGATCTGCGACCTAGATTCTTATCACTTATATCTCTTATATACATGTCTATACTAATGAATCATTTGTAGCAGTAGAAATTACTGTGGTAAGACGTCCAACTGAATTCTTTCGTGTCCTGCGTGGGAGATTAGCATGCCACTCAGATCAATTGGAACCACTTTTAGTCAGT